TGTTATGCACAAAAAATGAATCATGGAACACTACATCAAAAACTAATGATGTAATGTATGGTGATTAACATAACAATAAAAAATTAAAAAAAAAAAGCATAAGGAAGCTAACTGACCTGGCCAAAACTCTTTGACAGAGCCAGGAGTGGAATCTGGCCATCAAATTCTAATCAAGAATAATTTTCACCATTTCATGTGTTTTTTTTAACTTTGGATTGAAAATCAATAAGCGATTGAGATTTTTTCCTTAAATAAATTATTTGAAATTGTTAAAAAAAAAGAAAGCAGGCTACTGGAGAGATAACCTGCACTCCCATGGGCGTTGCGGCATCATTCACAGTGGCTGAGATATGGAAACCACCTCAGGGTCTGCATGGGATAAGTGGCTAAAGAGCATGCGTGTGTGTGGCTGGGCAGCAGGTAGCCTTGGCCAAGGCCACGGCAGAGCCCCCGCTTGCTTCCTGCTCTCAGCCTTGGCCACTTGCTCATCCCCGGGAGACGTCAGTGCTTGGCCCTTGTGGCTGCCCTGGCTGCCCGCTCGTCACAGCGGGTCTGGGTGGCTGAGCACAGCCGCCCAGGGGAGAGTCCGCCGAGCGTGGGGAGCACGGTGGAGCCAGACGGCAGAGTGGGGAGGAGCTCAGAAGCCATTGGACTGGGGGAAAAAGTGGGGCAGGCAGGACACTTCTTAAGGGCTGGGAGAGAGGGGGGCTGTCCTTTATCCTGTGTGCAGTGGGAGCCCCTGAAGGCGTTTGAGGAAGAGAATGGCCAGATTAGAGCTGGCCTTTAGGAGGCTGGGTTTGGTCTCTGTGTGTCTGATGGCTCAGGGCCTCACCTGGCTGAGTTCCAACAGCCTGTCTTCCTAGTTTGCCTATGACTTCCTTCTGCTACCTGTCACTGAGTGTCACTGTCTCTCAGGGGCTGTAAACTCTCAAAGGTCGCCGGCTTTTGTAGGTCACCAGCTTCCATGTTTAGTTTGCTGGCTAGTGGCTGCACAGCTCACGCCTGGGCATCCTGGCCTTATCTTTGACCCTCCCATGGCAATGCAGGGCAGGCATTATGGTGTTCTTAGTGTCTGGAGCGTACAGGCTGGGCATCAAACCTAGATTTCTCCCTGGGATGGCTTCTTTTCTCTGGAAAACTCCTACTGACCTTTCCAGATGCTTCCTCTCCTGGGATGGCTGTTGGCTCCCTCACAGAATATGAGAGCTGCTGCCCCTAAACCCTGATAGTACTTTATCTGTCCCAGATTTCATTGTGTTAGAGATATTTGTCTTATTTTCCCAGGCAGGCTCTGAGTGCCTTGAGGGAAGGGTCTGGTCTTTGTTATGTCTGCACCCAGCTCAGAGTTAAATACTTGATTGGGCACAGTCATCCAAGAATAGGCATCGTCTGTTCACTGACACCTGTGTATGTAGGCACTGGGATATAGCCATGAACAAAGCAGAGCAAGTCCCCCACCTGCCCTTGGGGGGCTCAGCCTACTGGATGCTCTGCATGTGACCTCCACTTCCATAAATCTTTCTGTGGGACAGACTTTATGCTGCCTTCCTCATATCTGGGGAAATGTTCTATTATAAGACAAGGTCTTTGATAACTTGAGAGGTAAAAGTGCTCTCTTTCAGGACAGGGGCTATTTACCTCGTATCCTCCCAAACACCGACAGAACGCAGTTCTCTGATGTTGGTCGGTTGTAGGTGTTTGCGACACACGTGTGGAATGGAGCTGGAGCAGGAATAGACTCTGGGTAAGAGTTGACTCCAGGAGGGGCAGGGGACCTGCCCGGGCCCGCGCACTCACCCGTCACGCACTGTTAGAACATGTCCAGCTCCAAGAGTTCTCTACAAAAAGAATTAGATTTTAGAGGCAGATAGGGGCCTGACGAGATGCAATCAGACTGCAAAAGAATTGGTTTTAATTCGAGACCTTGCCTCCAACAGGTTGTGTTCCCTCTCTTGTCATTTCCCCAGTTCCAGGACTCCCTTTAGAGTTTTAGAAGCAGCAACACACAGATGTCTTTCCCAGGCCACTTGGCCGAGACCAGGCCCTGCCTTGGGAAACACAGAAAGCTGGAAGGCTGGAGAGAGGGGCATCTGGAGTTTGTGGTCTGCGAGTGACAGAGCTACCAGAGGATCCTCTCTCTCCAACACACTCACCCAGTGTCAGGGCCACCGCAAACCAGAGAAGAGGCACCAGAACCAGGACACCAGGGTTTCCAACAACTCAGCCTGTGGTAGCCGGAAGGATGGCTCCAGGCTTGGCTTGGCCATTGCTCCAGCTGGTCAAGTTACTGTCCTTCCTCGTGCCTCAGATTCCACATGAGCAGCATGAGGAGGTTGGATGGAGGGTCTTAAATGCTCTTTTGGCTTTTTGTAGGAAGAAGCAGGGGCTCTGGTGTCAGGCACACCTGGATTTCAAAGGAAGGGAGCTTGAGAGGTAGGGTGCAGGTGGTAGGAATGGCTGCCTGGGTTTTAGAGACAGCCACACTTGGTTTCCAATGCTGGCTCTGCCCCTTGTTAGCTGTTTATTTGGGGGCAAGTTATGTAACTTTCTGGAGGCTGAGTTTCTGATGTAGAAATAGTAATGGGCCCTCCACCCTGGGTGGTTGGGGGAATCATCTGTAACGAGATGTAGGGAAAGCGTGGAACAAGGGTGTGGCACAGAGAAAGCCTACAGTCAATGTGGGGGATGGCAGTGGTATTTGGAGATGCTGGGCACCTGTCCAGGTGCCCTTGAGGCTGGCAGGTGGGCACATGGTACTCCCAGAAAGAAATACATATAGAGATGTATATTTCCATCCAAAGGTTGCTTGCACGTTCTGGACCAGGGCTGCAGGAACAGGCAGATGACCCTCAACTGTCATGAGTGTCTCTACCTCCACGGTGACAGGCAAGCCCAGAGCTGCTGGCTGGAGCTGGGCTGGCCCCGTCATTCCTGGGCTCTGAACCTCCATGTAGCCCATGTAGGTGAATCCAGGTGAATCATGAGACTCTGGGTGAGTCCCGGGTCTCCGGGCCCAGTCCTGGCTTGCTGGGTGTATGGCCTGGGCTGTGGGTCTGGGTGAACATGCTCTCCACCCCTTTCCAGTGCGCAGGTCCAAGGCCGCGGACGAAGAGAGGAGCTGCCGAGCTCAGCACGCCAGGGACGAGTACCGGCGCCACTCCCTCCGTGCCATCCAGAAGGGCACGGTCGCCGGCCTCAGCTCCATGTTCCAAGAGCTTGGCCAGAGCCACGAGCAGGAGGCCAGACTCTACCACCACCTCCCAGGCCCCGGGCCTCCGCCACCCCTTGCTATACCTGTCAGGTGGGTCTGGGGGACTCTGCAAATGCAGCGTGGCTGGGGGATCCAGTCCTTGCTCTGCTCCAACAGCAATGAAATTTGGAGCTAGTCATTTCCCCGCTGTGGGCCTCAGTGTTCAAGTCTGTGTAATGGGGCCAGAGCAGGGCAGTGAGGAGTCTGGTTGGAGATTTCTTTATTTTTTTAAAATTTTTTATTGTTATGTTAATCACCATACATTACATCATTAGTTTTTGATGTAGTGTTCCATGATTTATTGTTTGTGCATAACACCCAGTGCTCCTGGTTGGAGATTTCTAATAGCCCCAGAGTTCTGGGAGTCTTAACATTTTGGGGTCTAGAATTCTTTTGAGAATCTAAAGAAAGCTGTGTACCCTCTTCCCTCCAAGATGTGCATATGAAAATACCCAAAAATGTTTGCATATAATTTCAAGCTCTTAAACGTCCACAGACCCCAAGAACTTGTAATATTAGACCTCAAATGGGTTAAATATGGCCCAGCTGCTTGGAAACCAGGGCTGGCTGCTTTTTCTAACCACAGGTAGTGCTGGTGCATCCCTGGTTCTGGTAACAGGTTTGCAGATGAGCGTGGTTGAGTCCTGAGGGTCCTCACACAGACTGGTATCTCTGGAGTGGCTTGGCAGGGGCACTTAGGTGACTGCCCATCATTGCCAGAACCCAAGATCAAGAGGTTGCCTGGAGCCTTTCCGCTTTCCGCCTGTGCTCACCTTAGGCCAGCCCCAAGGTTGGTGCCCCACACCTCCATCCTTGCTGAGTAACTACTGCCCCATGAGGGTGCGTGGTGAGTGCCTGCTGGGTCCCCGAACATGGTTAATCTGCGGAAGAGTACGTTCTGAGTTTTACTTTAATTGGGATTTAGGATTATTCATAACTCCCTTCTCCCTTTCCCTGCGGGCTAGAGAGGGCTGACCATACCTGCATTTCTTCCTTTCTTCTCTTCCTCCCTCCCTCCTTCCCTCCCTCCCTCCCTTCCTTCCTTGTCATTTATATGATTCACAAACCACGAAGTTTAAAAAGAAATATGGAAAATGGTTGCCTTCCATTCCTACCTCCACCTACTTAGTTCTCCCTGGCCCTGTAGGGGAGCACTGTCCTCAGTGTTTTTGTGCACCTCCCCCCCCCAGTCCCTTTGTGTAGTTGATGACATGAAAAGTCGTAGCCCTGTCTTGTGTTTTTGTTTTTGTTTTTTTTTAGAAAAGGTTGCATACTATACACATGGCTCTGCATCTTGACTTTTATTTCCATTTAACTATATTTTGGAAGTCTTTTCATATCAATTCTTAGCTAGTCATTTATTTTTATTTAGTTTTTTTTTTTTTTTTTTTGATAGAGAGAGACACAGTGAGAGAGGGAACCAAGCAGGAGGAGTGGGAGAGGGAGAAGCAGGCTTCCCGCCAAGCAGGGAGCCCGATGTGGGGCTCGATCCCAGGACCCTGGGATCATGACCTGAGCTGAAGGCAGACGCTTACTGATTGAGTCACCCAGGCACCCTATTTAGTTTTCTTTTTTTTTAAGATTTTCTTTTTAAGTAATCTCTACACCCGATGTGGGACTCGAACTCACTTCCCCGAGATCAAGCGTCCCATGCTCCACTGACTGAGCCAGCCAGCCACCCTGGTTTAGTTTCCTTTTTTATAACTGCGTTGTGTTCACTCCGCAGATGTGCTAGAAATTATTTATCAAAAGCTCTGTTAATGAACATTGGAGTTGTTTGAAATCCTTGGTTATGACCAGCAGTGCCCTTAATGAATAACGCTGTAGACGTTCATTTTACACACGGGCCACCCCCGGAGGGAGGCTGGTGGCTGGCCTCTCCGGGTGCGTGGGTCTGCCGCTCCTGGTACACGAGGGTCTTCCTTCATGGATGCTGATGTTCGTGCTCTGCAATTCTAGAGGGGAAAAAAAATGCCTTTTCTCTCCCTCAAACATCCCCTCCTGTTCTCTTTTCCATTCCCATCTGCGTGGCTTTGTTGGAAGCAAGTGATAACAGTGCTCTTTTGGGAAAAATAATAGTAGTTGGTGCATTATTATCTGCAAAGTGCCTTCATGCACCTGGACTCATTTAATTCGCTCCACAGGCATGAGTGTGGGCACCGTGCTGATTCATTCTCGCAGTGGCCTTCCCTCCCCTCCCTTTCCCTCCCCTCCCTCCCTGACTCTCCACACTTCGTCTCTCTTCTCAGCAGGACCTGGGAGCGCCCACTGAGACCTGTCTCCAGAGAAGTCATAGTCCGCTGGTTTAAGGAGGAGCAGCTGCCTCGCAGAGCTGGCTTTGAGAGGAACACTGAGTCCATCGCCCCCTGGTTCCATGGTAGGATGGCTTTCTGGGCCCCTGGGGCAGACAGCTTCCACCTGTCTGCCTCTCTCCAGGGTTGGGAGGAGGTCCTGAGGGACTGCTGTCATCAGGGACAGTGGAGGACTTTGGACTTGGCTACTTTTGCGCTGCCCCCACAGAGACTGGCCAGTCTCCCAGCGTTAAGGATCGGCTCTCCTGGGTCACCTGGGGGACAGTGGCATGGAGACATGCCACATGGCAGCCATGGCTGCCCTCTGTTTGCTCATTGAATGTGCTGAGCTCAAGGCAGAGTTTGATTTCCCCAGGGCATGAGCTGAGATGCTGAGTGGCATTCATCAAGGCCTTAGGGACCAAGGCAAACATCTCCGAGCAGGAGTCCAGGAGACTGGAGGCGCCAGGGATTCTGAATGTGCATTCATTCCCCTCTCTCTGCTGGGGAAGGATGACCACGATCTTGCCCACTGCCCCCACTCACAGCCTCCTTGGCCATCCAGAGGCATCTTCTCTATACTCACAAGACAGGGAGCTCTCCTTGCACTTGGTGGACAGGGCCCGCATCTTGTGGTCTGAGCCTGCATCCCAGATCCTGGCCATAGACAGGCACACAGCAGGCTCTGAACAAATACCTGTTGATTAGATGACAGAACGGCTGAATGAAGAGGTCAGAGTCACCCAAGCAGAAGGCTCCCTGGAAGTGTCTAACTCCTCATTTTTCAGATAAGGAAACAGGTCCAGATTGGGGAGAAAGTTTTCGTCATATCACCGATAGCCTTGTAAAGTCAAGTTCAAGAATATATCTCAAGCTCATGATCCCAGTCCAGTGATCTGAACCTGGAGAGGCCTCAAACCGGGAAACAGGATTGTAATTTCAGCAGAGACTTGCTACAGTGAAATAGGAGTCATTACTGGCCATCAACCTCTTCTGTATCAGTTAGCTATTGCGACGTAACAAATCACCCCAAAACTCAGGAGCTGAAAACAAATAAGCACTTATTATTGTTTATTCATAAATTTCTGAATCGACTAGGCAGTTCTTCTGGGATGGGCCAGGCTCAGATGATCTGAGCTGAGCTTGCTCACGTGTCCCCAGATAGCGGGCTGGTCTCCTGGGTGCTTTATCCAGGACAGACTTGCCCAAGACATCTCTTCTCTGCTCCATATGGTTTCTTATTCTCCAGCAGCCTGGCCAGACTGCCAGGTTTCTCTGGATAAGTTGCATGCTGGCCTTGCTCCTGGAGTCTTCCCTCCCTTATCAGCACTGAGCCCAGGTTTGTCTGAGGACTCCCCTGGTCAGAATGGATCTCTTCGGCTGCAGTTAGCATCCATCAGACCCTGAACTGCCTTTGCTTCACTTCTGCCTGCCTCTGGGGAGCTTGGCCAGCCTCCACCTTGGCCTGTGTCTCCCCTTGCAATGTGAACTACATACCTGCTTCCTGACCAGCCTCCATGTGTTCTCAGTTCCATCCAGATGGAGAGCATGACTCTCAGTGCCATGATGGGCACTAGAGACCGTGTGTTCTTAAGGGCTAATGGGGAGGCCCTCACAGGCAAGCTGTGGGCGTGGCTCTAGCTCTAGGAAAGGCAGCTGGAGTGAAATCATGCAGGGGCGAGCAAGGCCATGTGCACCTTCAACCCCATCTTCAGGAGCCCAAAGAGTTTATGAACTATTGAGTGTAGGTGGTAGCCATACTACAGGTGGGATGACTGAAATGTAGCATTTTTCAGGGACTGTCCAAGGTCATAAAGGTCACAGAGGCACCACCCAGTTCATGCAGGAATGTCTTCACAGGTTTGCCTGTTTCACTCTGGCCCCTCTACAATTTATCCTTCACATAGCATCCTGCGAATATTTTAAATATAAATCAGATCCTGTCACTCCCTTGCTTGATACCTTTATATCTGCAATGAATTTCAAACTCCATGCTGGGGCCTGCAAGGCCCCCGATGATGGGTCCAGCTTCCTGCTTCAGCCTCATACCACAATTCTCTCTTTGTCCACCTTGCTTCTACAACTCTGGCTTTTTCCCTCTTCCTCAAACAAGCCGTTTTCTTTTCTACCCCAGGCTCTTTGCACTTGCTTTTAATCTGCTTGGTATTGCTCTTTTCCTAGCTTTTTGCATGGACGATGCACTCTTATTTCTCACCTCAAATACCCCCTTCTCAGAGAGGCCTCTCCTGAATCCTCAGCTAAAGAAGCCTTTGCCAGTTTCTCTCAACTCACTATGCTCATCTCTTTAAGAGTGCTCACCCAATTGATATTTATCTTGTTATTTGCTTTTGTCTGTTCTCCTACCTGAACGTAAGCCTGTGAAACTAAGACGTTTTTCATTTTCTCTGAATGCCTAAAGAATGGGTGAAGGTGGGAATCAAGTGCCAGATTAGATCCAGTCTTCCCAGTCCCAGAGAATAGCCATTGCTTCTCCACACTGGGCCCTGGTAGGTCTGGTAGGTGTGTGGGTCTCCTGAGGGCCTGATGAGTGAGTTTAAGCGGGAGCCGTCCACTTGTAGCCTGCCCCCTTCTCCAGGGATCTATATCTGTAGGGTATGTAGGATGGAGAGGCTCCTGATGGCCCAGAAAGAAAAGAGTCAACATTCACAGGTGACTGAGGCACACAGCCCGCAAGCTGGTCCTGGGGGTTTCCCTGCTTCTCACTTCGCTCCCAGTTATGTAGCCCTGAGAATTGCTGCTTTCCTTTTCATTCATCCATTAGAAGCACAGAAGGACATCAGGAGCATCTTAGGCGCCTGCGTAGTGCAGCTCCAAAGTTCTGCGGAGGAGGGGGTGGGGCTGGGGCCCCGGGGGCTCCGCAGTGCTTGCTGCAGCCGGTGGAGAAGGCATGACAGAGGTGCTCAAATTCATCTCTAGCTTTATTTTCTATCCTGATGAAAAAAATAAACTTTTTATATTGTCACAGAACAAACAGAACCATGATTTAAGTCTCATAATTTATGTAACTGATTTCATGTTCTCTTGACAGTTCTATCATAAAGCATGCGGGAAAGTTGGTAATACACAGACTGGAGCTATTTAGTGACAAAGTTTTTATTGATATGTGACAGAATGAAAAGAAAAAGGCTCATGGACGGAGGATGGCCCACCGTCTTTGCTTGGAAAGGACTGTGTCGTATTCTAAGATGATCTCCTTTCCTCCATTGTAGTATGAAAATGTTCTATCTTTTATGAATTGGTGGTGATAGTAAGTGGTAGTTATTTTTATATATTGCCTTTGCTCAGAAAAGCAAAAAGCTAGCAGCCCCATGTTGGTTTCTAAACTCTTGAGAGTAACTTTGCTTCATACCTAAAATCCCAAAGTCTGGAATTACTGGTATGGTCCAACCTCTTCCCCAGTGGAGGCATTCTGTGACAGCATCCCTGAGAGGCGCGCCCCCCGCCCAGTCCTTCCAGACAGTGAGCTATTGCCCATACTGCCCACAGGCAGCCTGCACCCGTTTAACTGTGAGGGAGTCTTTGCCAAGGTTGGCTGGGGGCTCTGCTCTCAACTGCTCTTGGTTGGACATCTCAGCGGGGGTGGCTGTGCTCCCCGAATCTCCCACGCTCCCCCCAGGACCAGCAGGCTAGCCCAGGCATGCTCTTCCCAGCAACCAGAGAGCAAGTGGCATTCTAGGCTTGTGAATCTAGTCTTCGAAGCAGGACACTGTCAACTTTCACCTCATAACATTGGCCACAATATGTCACAGAGTTCAGGGGTGGGAAAGTATATCCTGCTCCTTTCCTGTGAGGAACTGCAAAGCTGTGTGTCGAAAGGTGTGAAGACAAGGAGGGAGAGAGAATTTGACGATAATGTAAACTATTACAACCCCAGTATAAATCTTTTCTTTCCTGGGTAAAACAGTCCTTATTTTAGCTGGGTTTTAAATTTTTTTTTAAGAAAATATTTATTTATTTTAGAGAGAGAGCACACGAGAGAGGGGAGGGGCAGAGGGAGAGGGAGAGAAACTCAAGCAGACTCCACATGGAGAATGGAGCCCGATGTGGGGCTTGATCTCACGACCCTGAGATCATGACCTGAGCTGACATCAAGAGTTGGACGCTTAACTGACTGAGCCACACAGGCACCCCAATTTAACTGGGTTTTATTTATTTATTCATTTATTTTTTAAATAATTTTTTATTGTTATGTTAATCACCATACATTACATCATTAGTTTTTTTTTCCTGTCTTTAAATAATTTTTTATTGTTATGTTAATCACCATATATTACATCATTAGTTCTTGATGTAGTGTTCCATGATTCATTGTTTGTGCATAACACCCAGTGCTCCACGCAGAATGTGCCCTCTTTAATACCCATCACCAGGCTAACCCATCCCCCCACCCCCCTCCCCTCTAGAACCCTCAGTTTGTTTTTCAGAGTCCATCGTCTCTAATGGTTCGTTTCCCCCTCTGACTTACTCCCCTTCATTCTTCCCCTCCTGCTATCTTCTTCTTCTTCTTTTTTTTTTCTTAACATATATTGCATTATTTGTTTCAGAAGTACAGATCCGTGATTCATCAGTCTTGTACAATTCACAGTGCTCACCATTAGCTGGGTTTTAGATGGAGATTAAAAATGACCACTGTGACTCCTGGTTCCTTCCCTACCCTCAAACACATTTGGATACACTGTATGCGCCAAAGAGTAATGTGAACGAGGAGTCTGAAGATATGGGGCCCACTCTAGAACCTAGCAGCTCTGTGACCTTGGGCGTGTCCTTTAAATCCACATCTATGAAATTGAGATTTTAACATTGGTTTCACAGGACTTATGAAGATCAAGCCAACAAATGTGCTTTGTCCACCATAATGAGCCATGTTGGTGTGAGTGCTGATGTCTCTCGGAGTCTGAGGTGGGCCACAAGAGAAGCCACCCACTCTGGGAAACAGAGTTCAGAGGTGGGGGGAGGGGAAGGAGAACTGGCTTCCTGCTGGGACCAAGGAGTTCTCAATAGTCTCCTCTGTTAAAAAGAGAAAGTGGTAAAGTTATTCCTCCTTTCTCCTTTGTTCATTGTCATG